TTAGAAAGCCGAATTGCATCTTATGAAAACCATTTCTGACTCTCTATTCGGCTAAAAATCAATGGCTGTAAATAGAACATTGCAAAGGTTATTACAAATTATGGTAGAGTATTAAATATTATAGATCCATGCCAATTACCAATATTTCATAAATCAACTGGTTGCAGATACCTAGACCTTACATTAGTACCTATGGCGAATCTTACTTTGCACCTTTGCAAAAAAATAAAAATAAAAAGAGTCTCACTTTTCTACTGGCAGGGGTAAACTACTTCATCAGAAAAAAAGAAACTCGCATAGCATTGTCAGGCAATAACAAAACTCAATTAAAGAATCATCCTGTTTAAACAAAATTGACAATAAATATTTATGTACAAAATAGAGTACCTCATCAGGAGCAAAGAAAGCTACAGCATCTGGTTCTACGGAACCAACTGGATGCAGTGATACTACGGCCCTAAAGACAGAAGGAATAATCAACTCAATCACAGAAACTTTATCTTTGGAACTGGCAGCAAGTGATCCAGGGCCCATCCTAGGACTATGATAGTTATGTTCTTTTAGTGCTCCGATCGAATTATCATTTGCTTGTGAGGAAAGTGCTGGAGCTTGTTTCAACCAGTCTAATCGCTCGTAAGTGAAAATCTTAAGATCTGGCACTTCCTTTTCCATACATGTTAGAATATCTGAAAGTGTTCTAGGTTCATTAAGCTCGTCTTGTTTAATCTCTGTCACTCCGTGAGAAAAACAAGGCTTCTTCAGAGCAGGCTCAAGATTCAACCTGCTTTCATCATCAAGATGAGGGAAGAACCGTCTTTTCTGGTCAGTGAAGGCCTTAAGAGCTAACCTATTAACATATTAAAGCGTCAGTACAACATTTAGCTGAACTTATGTAAGTGTGATTAAAATTTACAAATCTGGTCTATCATGTATAAGGAGGCAACTAGGTCATAATTCAAAAGGCGCAACTATCAATAGTAACTGAAACTGTCCTACAGCATAATAGAGGCACAAATATTTTGATTAGTCAATCATTAATAAACTTCAGCAAACTTCAGCTCTCTGTGTTAGAAAATTTGTTAATTAAAACCCTGTGTAGATACAGAACCAATGTGACTCCATGAACACTTCACTAAAACCAGGGGCCTTTACTTTATGGTTACAAAGCGAGCATAATCATAAAAAGTAGAAATATTCTATATTGTTCAACACACAGCCTAACGGTGACTAGTCAACAATGAAATATCATTTCCATAAGGTATCTACTCCTCTTACAGCTCCGGTTCTTATTGTTGACCGTTCAATTATCATTTGTAAGATACTTGATCGAATTATTTGTATTTCCTAATATATCACTGCACAAAGTCAAGTTGCCGTAACACACTATGCAGTCTATTACAAGCTTGTACTTCCCTAAAATGAATCAAAAGTTATTAGCATCATCAAGCAGAGTCCGGAAGCTCAGTTTTTCAACTATTTCTTTACAAAATAACTTATAAACTCTAATTTATCAGCCTATACAAATATACCACGCTATGCTTCAAGTACTATGAAGAAACATCACATGAACTTGCAAATTCTAGTAGGTTTTCCGAATCATGCCCTGTAGAAGCTAATTTCCAGGATACAAATATGCAAAATGTCTAAACCTACCTCGTCCGGTCAACTGCAGATGCACCCGCCTGACCAGCCAGTTGACGTTTCCAAGCATAAGCAACCACTGCACCGTCAGGACACACTAAAGGCATATGTAGACCCCAAGAATTACTTCGTGAAAGAAGAGATTCACTGAGAACACCAGACTCTTCGAGCTGCTTTCCTAGCAAATTAGAAGCAAAATATTAAAAAATTAAATCCCTAACAGAGGTAGTTTGAATCTAAAAATCTCGCTAATGACGCGATTTTACCCTAAGCACATTGAAACTGTAAACGTAACCCTAAAAAGGAACAGATGCTAAATACCAACTGCGCGAAGGTCTCGGAGGTGTTGGCGCATCGAATCGTCTTCTTTCTGAAACAAGTGGAGAGGCTTGGTGCTCTGGTGAGGGTGCGCGGTGACGCATAGGGCTTCGAGAAGGCGATCGGCGCCGAGCCTGATGTCGGCGATGAGACGGGCGGCGTGGCCGAGTCTATCCATGGCGAGTGCCACCTGCTTCGGCGGCGCCTCCTCTGCAGAGCCGCCGGAGTGAGGCGCAGCAGTGTTAGGGCTCACCGTCGCAGTCTGGCCCTGCGCTGGCTGCTGCGTCTGGCGCATCTACCCTCCACCGATGTTTCCTACTTCCGATTTCTTTCCCCAAAAAGGCCTCACGGAAGAGTGAGGAAGACGACTGCTATTGGGGAATTTCCACCGTGCCTTCTATTTTTTTAAAATATATATTACCCCTTTTAATGACATCATTAATATTTTCTCTTTTTTTTGTTTGGTATTTGTTTTAATTAGTCGGTTTTATATTTCAAATCATAATTCCTCCCATAATCCCAAGTAAATTACATAATTAAAATAAATAAAAAAACAGCAAATTACATAATTGCCCGCGAAGTAGCTAATAAACTAAAACCAAACTAAGTTCAACCCACATGGTACTTAAAATAAAGTAATGTTTAAAAAAAAAAAAGGAAAATGAAAACACTACAAAATATATAAGTTTAACAATCCAAATATTTACATTTGAATTAGAAATTTAGTTTTGAAGATTATGTTTTATAGATCTTTAAATTTAAAAAAGTATTCAATAGGTATCTTATAAGTATTTCAATTTTAAAGAATGTCATTTTGAAGAGTGCCTAACATATTTATAAACTTTCAAATTGAAGTATAATAGGTTCGTAGAATTTTTAATTTGTATTTAAAATATCATTCATCCAATGAACATTTTAAAAAGTTCATGATTTGATAAACACAAAATTAGAATTGAAAATATACTAGTTGCAAAATTTAATTTTATGTTGAGTAGATCGATTTAGTTTTTTTTTTATAATGTTGAATATATTAAAAATCTATCATCATTAAAATTGAAATTTAAAAAACATAATAAACCTTTTCTAAATTTAAAAACTTATTAATTACATAATTGAAAGTTTAGAAATTAATTAGATATTTTTTAAAGTTCAAACATTTTAGACACAAAATTTAAACTTCAAGTTAAATATGTAGTTTACCAATATTCATTTATTTATGAATTATAAAAAAACTACAAAAATTTAAGAATGCCTAAATGACAAAAAAAAAAAAAGAAAGAAAAAAAAGCCAACTTCGCATGCATATTATCAAAATGAAAGATAGAAGTTCAAATATTATCTCTTCAACCAAAAGAAGAATATGACGAAAAAAAAAGTATTCGCCCCAAAACATTTCATCCTCACTCAGCCGTTGTTAAACTAAAAAATCACAAAATTGAAAGAAAAAAAAAAACTTTTCTGTAGGCGTTGAATCTAATAGTTGGAAATTGGAATATTGCTTATTACTTATATAAATTTTCAATTTTATGCTATTATTTATAAAGAAAAGTGCGGGAGACCAATTTTCAATAATCATATGGCGCCAAACCTGCAGAGAATTTAAGCTCAAAAATCGATGAACCGTAAGAGAAGAAAAAAGGGGAAAAAAAGCTCAATCTCTGCAGCGAAAATTGAAGTCTGTCGTCTCCTTTCCACTCATGCAATCCAAAATCAGCGTCTTCTTCAAACCCTCGTCTTCGATTTCTGCCCACAGGTCTACGGAATCGCCCCTGAATTCAGCCGCCGACGACGATGGAGCATTGAAGATCTGGGAAAAGGCAGAGCATCAATACGTCAACACATATAAGCGCAGAACTTCCAGCTCCCACAGGTATCCTCACTTCTCGCCATTTGATTACCAATATTCTTCTTCCTCTTCCTCTTTTCGCATAAATTATGATCGGCTCACTGCGGAAATCCGTTTTATAGCTTCTGTCACTCAAAAGTTTATATTCTTTATGTGGAGGAATGTGAGAAGTCCAGAATATGTGATTCCAGCGCCCAAAAATCCCATTCTGGATGATTCATCTGTAAATCTGGAGGTGGCTTCATCAACCAAAACCGTGGTCAAGAACAAGAAAAGAAGCTACGCTCAGTACCATTTACTTTTCGGCCAGTCTGATTTTTTGCTCCATTTTTGTCCAACCTGTGGGATCAAATATGCTCGTGGGGACGAAGGGGATGAAAAATCTCATAAAACATTTCATAAGAATTACACATGTGGAATCCAGTTTAAGGTATAGCCGTTGGTTTCTTCACTGGTTTTTTTTTTTCTGGGTCTCTTTATAATTGCATTTTTCCCCATTTTCAGGGCTGGTCTCACGAAAGGGTTATCAATGTTACTTCTGATGAAGGTGGTCGTATTTTGTTGGTGTTGGATTCTGACCCTTCTGCTCACAGAAACAAGGTCCAAACACTATTGAATTTCAACTGTGCAAGATCAAGTGAAGCACAGGAATAGTGAGATAATCTGACATGTTTCTCAATATTGATCAGTTTTATTCTACTGGCAGGTTGAAGCGGTGGTGAAGATGATGGAAAAAGACCTGGGAAGTGGATGGATATTGCATAAGGACTGTCAGGTGCTTACAGAGTTCTCAATCATATTGATTTTTGTGCAAGCAATAGGTTCTGAACACATTCATGAATTGACAGATATAATTGATAAACAGAGAGAGCTTTTCAAATCTTTCCATCAGGATCAAGTTTACTTTTGATGTTCTGTTGTTCAATATCCTCCATTTTCTAGTTACATTCACAGATTTCCACATTGCATTTACTCTGGTTCTTACTTACGATGTTTCTGAACTTACTTTTCTTATCCCAACTGCAGGTTTATCTATTTGTTTCTTCCCAAAGAATTGTAGGATGTCTAGTTGTAGAACCAATAACGAAAGCTTTTAAAGTAGTCTCATGTTTTCTGGACGAAAAACCTGACGAGTCTAAGATGAAGGATTCAAGACAAAGTTCAACTACCTTGCAATTTGGGGATATCACTTTCCAGAGAGAAGCCATTTTGAAGAAACCTACCAAAAATCCCGAGGCACTCGATAAGAACCTTAACGGTGCAATTTTATGTGAAGAAGAAGCCGTTCCTGCTGTTTGTGGAGTTCGTGCTATTTGGGTTACTCCTGCCAACAGAAGGAAGCATATTGCCAGCCAATTGCTAGATGCTGCAAGGTAAAAAATTATAACGAACAATCTCATTCCTTTCATCCTATATTTTCTAAAATGCTGAAACCTGACAAGTTACATTAGTATAACTTGTTATGTTCAAACAAACCAAATGAAATCACCAATACTCACAATGATAAACTTCTCTAAGCGAAGATTAATATGATGCGTACCTTTAGGTTCAAGGGTCATTGATAAGAATATTAAACCCTCTATGCGATTTACTCAGAAATTAGAGTTCGAGACCTCTCGAATTGCTCGGTTCAAGGGTCATCAATAGGTCATCTGAGACCTATCAGTCATAGGAAGATGCTAGAACCTTTTTTCTGGTTTCCCTTGTTGATATGAATAGCCAAGACCATCTCACCATTACAGGGCAAACAACTCCTCAAATTGGGATCTCATATATCCTTTTCTCTGCTGCAGGAAAAGCTTCTGCAAGGGAGTTGCCCTTGAGTGCTCTCAATTGGCATTCTCTCAGCCAACTTCTTGTGGAATGGCATTGGCATCAAGATATGTAGGCTCCAGATTTATTTTGGTGTACAAAAGCAACACTCTAATTTGAGGTATTTTTAGCTTGACTGTTTATAGGGCAAGCTGATCAGTTGTCAATATTATCCCATTGTCATATCAACAGTTAATTTCCATAAGCTCTGTATGTAGCGTTGTCGAAAGCAGACTTAAAAGATTTGGGTCAAGAACGAAACAGAAAACAACTATAAGATGGTTTTTGAAAACTATTGTGTGGAGCATTAAAACTTCAACTTTTTCGTTTTTTAATCCAATAGCTATATATTTTATGGCGATAATTTATTTAGAATTGAGATTAAAGTTTGTTATATTTCATAATATTAGAAAATAGGTAATCTATTTTCTAAAGTCTGAAGTATTTTGGCATGTATACGATTTTGGTTCATTTTAATCTTTGTATTTTCAACTTTTGTTATTTAATTTTTAGTTCATGTATTTTCAAAACGTTGGTTTTAGTCTTTGTACTATAAAAAAAGTTACTATTTTGGTTCCTATTTGCAAATTTTCTACAAAATAGAAACTAATACAAATTTATTACAAGCGAGTGAAGTGTTTGTTAAAATTTTGATTGAAATAAATGAGATTAAAATAGAAATAAAGAGACTAAAATAGTCACTTTTTTAAGAATACGATGACAAAAAAGAATGTTTTGAAAGTACATGAACTAAAATGAATCAAACTTAAAATATAGGGATTAAGGTAGATATTTTGTGAGTTTCATGGAACGATGAGAGACAATGAGATAGGGATTTTTTTTCCTTGGAAACTCCCTCACTTTTAGAAGAATGATTTCCATTTTTAAAGTCAATCACACGTTTTAATTTCATTCTACAAATCAAAGTTCCTTCCATTCCCAGTTTTGAAAACGTGGCCTAAAGCAAAAGGCAAGAGAAGAGGAGAGTGTCAAAATCAAACTCGTGGAAATCGTTTACAGTTGGGTAAACTAGTAGTGAAGGTTCTGATTCCATATATCTTAGCCTCAGCTTTCCAATATGAACATGAATCCACCACTGGTCCAGGTTCCTATACGAACAAACAATGTGCCTTATCTTAAACATTACCAAAACCAAGAGCTTTTGGCATTCTTATTTGAACAATGAAAGTTAGATGTGAGAATACATCATTTTCTCCAAACCCTTGTATGATGTACGATCCATGAATATATTATCTTCTTTCAACAGCTGAAGTTGAACACTTTCAGCTGACTAATTGGGTTTCATTCTGCTTGAGAGCATTGCCATCATCCCCATTTCCTGATATGAAGTTACTAAATTCCTTCATCACTTGTGCATAAACAGGCTTCCGGGAATTGGCAGCCTGCTTGGACGATTATAAAGATTTATGAGAAATTGTTGCAGAGTAAAAAGTGTAGTTAGAATAAGTTTTACTCACTAGCTCTAGTATCTGTTCAATTGACATCCATAACCACTTCCCAAACTCTTGCCTCTCAGTTCCATCGCCCAGAAGATTTATCTCTTCGTCTTTTCCGGTGAACTTCAGAAGAAACCTGTTTATTTGTTCACAAGCTTTAGGATTGATCAAACGAGAACAGAAGTTTGAAGGGGAAAACATAATCTATACACATCGATTGAGTTATCCGAACGGACAAAAATGTTACCAAATATGCACACTATAGATTAGATTCTTTTAGGGATAAACGATATAGATAAGCATCCACCTGATAACATAACCAAGAAAGCACAAAACATTGGAGACTCTTTTGAAAAAGAAGATTCCCTAATATCAAAAGATTAAAGGAGTGGGAGATTTTCAGGCGGCAATACCATTTCTGGGCTTGACCTTTGTATCTTACTCCCCAATGTTGACTGAGTTTGATGCTGGCTTCAGGTGAGAGATCGTACGTAAGCCAGTAGGGAAGCTATATTTAACCATGGAACGAATCAATTCCAATGTAAATGGATCTAGAATTCATTCTTCGAAAGTTCATACAACATTAGATATAGAGGCTGTAGAATTATATCAGGAAGCATCTCAAAGTGAATACCTCTGCAACAATTTCTGCAGAAATTACTCCTGTTTCTTCTGTGAGTTCTCTCCTGGCTGCAGCTTTGAGATCTTCGCCTTCGTTTACTCCACCCTGTATGGAAAATCGTCCTTAGCTTCAGGATGAATGGTTAAACAAGAACACGAATACAAGATTCTTCGATAAGCTTTGAGTTCTGTCAGGCAATAATAAAGATATCATTTAACCCACCATAAGTTGGTTCATGGGACAAGATATAGACCTAGATGACTTTGATGTTACTGGTTCAACCCATCATTCCAAACATATTACTGAAATTCCTAAAAGTGCTGTAGTTTTAGATAATTGATGCATAAGTCAACCAGAGATTGTAAGGAACATAAAGACATCGCTTCCAAAATCTCACACTAGCCCCAAGAAAAAACCTCATCATTGAAAATAAATCAGGAACATGTGTCGAAGTTTGCAACAGTAACTGCTAAACAGTAACATAAACCATCTATCCGAAAGGTAGTACAGCTTTCTTATGGAAAGAAATAGAGAATCCGCGGCAATGCAGAAAGAATTTCGCTTGAAATTCTCCTACAACTTCAAGTATTTCAGTGGTTCTATCTTCACAGAGTCAATTTGAGGAAGATGGGTACCAAATATCCAAAAATCTCCTACACTCATTTCACAGGAATCTCGAAATTCTTACTCCGAGTATAAAAAATCTGTGGAGTTCTTCAAAAAGGAGGCTCAAAAAAGAATTTTCGGATATCCCTACAAGAGAATCGAAGTTCGAACCTGTAATTATATGACCTAATTCACACAGAATAAAGCGAGAAGTATTACAAAAAGCAGAGAGAGATGATACTTTTCGTTTTGCCCAACGAATAAAGCTCCTTCTAAGTACAAAAAGAAATTATGGCTGAATCAGAAAGGAAGTCACCTGAGGCATTTCCCAGATTTCAGGCCTGTTCAGCCTCGAAGCAGCAAAAATCTGAAAAATTTTGATTGGACGGAGGGAAATTAAACAACAGAAGAAAACAAAATCAGACAGAGAGGCGATCGAAGAGAGAATTTACCTTTCCAGAAGAATTAAAAAGACAAATCCCTACATTTCTTCTGTAACCTTCTGGAGGAAACTCCATGGATGAAGAAGACGAAGCTCGGAAGAGACAACTCAGCAGTGGAAGCCCCCTCCAATGAGGCGTTGACGAGGAGATTTCAATTGAATAATAGGGGTAGTTCGGTCCAAACACCCCCAACGCGACCATTACGCTGTCGTTTCGATTTACTTGATCACCAAGTCTCTTTCCTTATATAAAGCGTTTTGAAATTTCCTCCCGATTTCTCCCAAAAGCCCCAAAATAATATTTTTATTCCGGAAATACCCTCACCGCCTTCCCGTTGTTACCATAAAAACCTAAAACCCACCCACGCAGTAAAGCCCCCATAGCTTCCCCTGAAAATTTTGCTCTGTTCCCCAAATCAAGAATCGATTGATCTGTAGCGCAGATGGTGGAGATCGCCGGGGGCGTCTTGTTCCCGGTCGTTTTCCACGACGGCGAACGAGATGCCGACGTCGGTTCCGTCGTCGTTTCCGCTTCGACGGAATTCAAGAATTTCCAGTCGGTTTTGAGCAAGAAGATCGGAATCTCTTCGCACCAGTTCACGGTTTACCTAGCGGAGTACAAGACCTCTCTGGATTCCTCCACGAAGATACGGCGGAGAATCCCCATCACCGGGAAGGTCAACTTCGGCGCAATTGCCGGCGAGAAGAACAGCTTCTTTCTCGTGGTTCTGAAACGGTCAAGACGCGAGAGGAGGCGAAAGGGCAACGACAACGAAGACGAATATTACTACCCGACGAAGACGAAGACGAAGACGCAGCCACCGAAGAAAAAGAACCCGCCGGAGAATGTGATGCTGTTGAGACGGAACGCGAGCATCAATAACGAATCGCTCGCCGGGTTCATCTCGCCGGTGATGGGGCGATTCGAGTACGAACAGCGAATTCGGATGCTGCAGTTGGAGAAAGAGAAGTATCTAATGAACATGGGGCTAAGCGGATTGACGGTGGCCGGAAACGGCGGCCGGAACAGTACTGCGAAATCCGAAGCGGCGATCTGCCGGGACTGCCAGAGTGCGAAGGAGACCGGCGTGGAGGCCGGATTTCACTGCTGCGCTCACGATGCCGTGTTGACGGGATTCCGGTCTCACGCGGGTCCGATTGCCCGACCCGTCAAAGATTCCGAGTAAGGATCCGACCCGAATCAGCTTTATTTTGGTCTCCATGTTCCGTGCGCTGCGTGTGAATAACAGAGTAGGTAGAAGAGAAGGCGAGGGAACGGTGTATTGGGGAATATTCCTCTGAAGTTGGGTCCACCGTAAGAAGCGTGTACCCGAGTCTCCCATTGGCTACGATCACATCAGATGGCCCCTAAAGAGAAGGATCGGGCCGTTGATTTGTATTTATTTTTTAGACTATTTTGACCAGAAGGAAGAGTGAGGTTTTATTTTTTTTCTTTTTTCTGTGAAACGTAAGGAAAGAAAATTACGTTCTGTGCAGTTTCTACGACCCAGGACTGAATCCAAAGTCTATTTTTAGTTTTTACAATATTGATATCAATATTATGATTATTATTTTCCCAATTAAATTTACTTTTTTTCTCTACCATTTCATTTTTATTTTTTGTGGTCAAAATTTATCGTTGAAACTTGAAAGAGACGATTCTTTCTTATTCCTCTTTTAGTCCGTCGAAAATGACCGTTTACACCTTCTGTTCATGTATCTTTATGAGTCATGTGGGGGGCTTACTTGGGATTTTGTTAATAAAAAATTAGATTTTTTAAAAAGTTACGATTAAAAAATGGAGTCTCGAAATATGTAGATTTTAAAATTCATCAAAGATTAATAGACAAGATTCAAAGAAACAATCGTTTTTTTTAATTTTATTTTACAAAATATAAATAAATCTGTTCAAGGATGCCACTTTTTTGGGGCCTTGCTTGGGTTTTTGTGACCAAAATTAAGGAAAACTGATGAAACAGGCCATGAACATTGAACACAACAAAGCTGAGAATTGAGAAAAGAATGTTTTTGGCCAATATTTGTTTTGTTAGAAAAAAAAAGTGATTAAATTAATTATAAAAAATTGTTAAACTATAAATAGAGGATGTTGTGTTGTCTCGTCCGTACATGTCTTAACTAGTTTATGATATGTCTATTTTTATTACTATGTTTGGTATATTAACCCTATTAAAGAATGATTTTCTTTTATCCATTTATTTTCCTTTTAGTTACCAAGTTGAGCATTAAATTTGAGAGCAAAAATGTCAAGAAAGGGAGTTGGCAACAAAAACTTACTAATATTAGAATTATAAATTCAAGCCTAAACTTATAATTCAACCATAAAGAACTTAGTAAATAATATAAAAATTAATTAAGCAATGATATATAACAAATTGAATCGTTCAATAATGATCTTGTTTTCAGTTCTGAAAATTTTGCAAGTTCGTTTTAAATTCAACAAATTTTTGGAAACTACATTTTTTCCAAAAAAGAAAATTTCGCTTAGTTTTTGAAATTTTATCTAAAAAAAGTAGATGCCAAACAAAGGAGGAATACCTTGGTAAAAATAGTATTTAGATTCTTAATTTTTAAAAATAAAAAACTAATAATAAAATGGTTATTAAACAGGGTCAAAATCTTTCAATTTTATAATCAAGGACAAAATAGTATTTTGACTTTGAGATCTTGAATAAATTTTAATAAAGCTTGACAAATTAAACACGACTTTATATATTATAAAAATACATTTATAGTCTTAGGTGTTAATTTGGTCCCTTCAATTTTAAAATGAATTTTTTTTGTTCTTGATGTTTGAAGTAGGTATCTATTTGATTCTCAAATTTTAAAATAGACACTTTGAATCACTATAATCTGAAAATTGTTCTAAATGATCATTTAGCATTCTTTAACGGTTAGTTGACCTAACGGAAAAATGACTTGACAATTAATAAGTTAGAATTTTTTTTCTGGAAAAACATAGAAAAGTTAAGTCATCTAAGGCTCATTTAATAACCATCTCGATGTTTTTTGGTTTTTGTTTTTAGTTTTTTAAAAACAAGTTGTTTTGTTATAACTAATTCAATTTTTTTGTTTTTCAAAAACCATTTATTTTGAAATTCGATGTAAAATTGAAAAAAATAGTTTTCAAAAACACATTTTTTGTTTTTCAAAATCGGATTTTTTTTAATACTCCACCTTTTTTTTATTTCTCATATTTATCTCTAAAAAAATTTCTTTCTCACTCTAAAATTTTATCTTTTTGAAATTTTCTCTCAATAAAATTTTCATCTCTATATATTATTATTATTTATTTTTTTCTAAAAGTTTGGTTCCTCTCCATAAAAATTTAATATTTTTTCGAATTTTCACTCTATAAAATTTCATTTTTTTATAACTTTTCTTTTTCTTCCTAATCTATCTTTTCTCGAAAAATTATATCTTATTTTATCGTAACTTTTATTCCTCTCTATTTTATTTATTTTCTCTAAAAATTAAATTTTGAATCTTGTATTTCTCTAAAAATTTTTCCACTTTAATTTTTCTTTTTCTTTCTAATTTCTTTTTTTTTCTTTAACATATTTCACTAATTTTTTTTCTAAACCTTTTTATTTATCTCTTTAAAATTATCTTCCAAAAGTTTATTTACATATCCGTAAACTTGTATTTTCATGTCTCTACATTAGAGATGACAAAAATTTCGGCAGGGTCGGCATACCACGAAAGCGGAGATTCGAACGGTTTGAGTGGAACTTTTATTTTGGCTTTTTTCAGGCGATTATTTGTTTTTAGGAGCTCTAATTTAATACTATACTTGGTGACAAATAAAAAAAACTATAACGTGATATCAATTTGAATTTGATAACGTTATCGTTTCTTGTTTATCATTTTCAATTTTAGAAAACTTAAGTATCTGACCGTTATTTATGTTTCTTGTTTCTCATATTTTTTTTAATATTCTCACAATTATATGAAAAATTTGGAAAGAAACAAAATAAGTTTCTTGTTTCTGCCTCTAATTTGTTTCAAAAAATATATAAAAATATTGTTTCATCATTCTTAATCACGAGTATTGGAGTCATGCCATTATATTTTTCTATTAAAAAATAAGAATGGAAAATAGGACGAGAACGTTACCAAATGGACTCATAATGAAAATTTTAAGTATGATGACCGTATTATATTGAAATGCTAAAACAAATTTGTTACCTAAACTTTTTTTTTATCTTAATTATTTGATGGAAATATAGTGAAAATTAATGATATAAAAGTGTAAAATATAGTTCAAACAAATAATAACAGTAAAGTAAGTTCTCTGATTGAATCTAACAAGTTTAATCATACTAACAGTACTAGTTGGTCCATTGATGAAAAAGGATTAACAAATATTTTATCTTTCAATTTACTCGATCTAAAGACACAGATCATTTGGGAGAGCGATCTTATTTTTAGGACTAACTTTTTTTAAAAAAAATTAAATTGATATTTTTTAGAATATCATATTGCCATTTTTCTTATATTACAATTCAAAGAATGTGAAGATAAATCATTAACTCCATCTTGCTATGTTTAATTAGTGATTAGTTTTTTTTTCTTTTTTGTTGGTAGGTAAACATATATATACTTCTCTCGGCTCAAACTAATTAAATAATAGACATCTCAACATCTTAATTTGAGATATATGTCAATTACCGTTGAATTATGCTCGTTTTACGTCACTCGTACTCTCTCAAGACTAAATTAGATAAATTACAGATTAATAGTTTACAAAAGTAAATTATTGAACAATATTAATTACATTACTCACTCAAATTTAAATTAAAAAAAAAAAGTCAAAATTTATGTTTTGTTACAAGTTTAGTGTTTAACCTTTAGAATTATATCCAATAACTCCTTTAAAAAGTATTACACAAGTTCTTAAATTTTCAATTTTATAGTTAATAAGTTCTAAATTAATAGATGTTAGATACAAAATTTTTTATTTTATTTTTTATAACATACCAACTTAACTCGACAATAACTGACACATGTTTTTACTAAGAGATCTTGAATTTGAATCTCTCCCCTCCATTTATTCTACTAAATAAAAAAAAATCTTTAAACATGTATTTATAAAAATATCATTACTTTTTATTTTATAAAAAAAATGTCGAAGTGAATTTTAGCTGGTCTATCTATATATATATCTGCAATTTATACTATTTTTGTGAAATGTTAAACCTAATTATATATATATATATATATACATATTTCAATGGAGCTATTTTTGTTTGTAATTCTCTTATTAAAAAAATTTGGAATGGGGAA